TGGTGAAAAGTATACCTCATGATCCATTACAAACACATTTATTCAGCCTATCATATATAATACATAAAGTGACCATATTTCCCTGTACTGTATATGGAAGATCTGGTAAAATTACTCATTCAAGTAGAGTCAGTAACAATCAATCATACAAACATTCAAATTAACATCAAGTTGACTGAGCCCGTTAAATATGGTGTAGTTTGGTTCTTTTTACCTTCTCTCACATGGGGGAAGGGCATGACTGACCTAGTCCTTCTCTGCCCGCTATTCCTGGCTGGACTACCTCAGCACAGAGCTGTTACTCCTGGGCTACGTCTACACTGGCCCCTTTTCCGGAAGGGGCATGTAAATTTCACCAGTCGTCGTAGGGAAATCCGCGGGGGATTTAAATATCCCCCGCGGCATTTAAATAAAAATGTCCGCCGCTTTTTTCCGGCTTTTAAAAAAGCCGGAAAAGAGCGTCTACACTGGCCCCGATCCTCCGGAAAAAGCGCCCTTTTCCGGAGGCTCTTATTCCTACTTAGGAATAAGACCCTCCGGAAAAGGGCACTTTTTCCGGAGGATCGGGGCCAGTCTAGACGTTCTTTTCCGGCTTTTTTAAAAGCCGGAAAAAAGCGGCGGACATTTTTATTTAAATGCCGCGGGGGATATTTAAATCCCCCGCGGATTTCCCTACGACGACTGGTGAAATTTACATGCCCCTTCCGGAAAAGGGGCCAGTGTAGACGTAGCCCTGGTATTTGGCACAGCGTCTTCTTTGGGAAATAGGGGGGGTGAGGCATGTAAAGTCACATGCTGCCTTCACAGCTTTCTGCTAATGTTCACCCCAGAATGCAGCCAGCTGCAGTTCTTAGGCGCTGTGTGGGAAGCAAGGGACAGAAGCTATTTCCACCTCGGGATGGGGGAAGGGATAATCTGGCAGCGCTCATCTCTTCCCCTGCCACTGCTCCTATGTTTAGGAGCAACTTGTCCTTTCCTGCCCATACAGTGTCAAAAGCAGCTAATACTTTCAGGCTTCTGTTTGCCACCAACATAACCCAGCTGCCTCCTGCCCCCTGCCTACAGTGCAGGCAGGAAGGGGTTAAGACCTAAGACTGCTTTGAGCGCTAGGGCTCAGGAACCTGGCAGCAGAGGCTTCAGCAAAACCAGCCAGAGAGGTGGCTTTGCAAAGGAGGGCACCTAGGGAATGAAGCAGGACCCAGAAGTGGGTGAGGGCTGGGCAGCATGTAAATAGAACCTTCTGGCACCTGCCTGCATTCATCAACTACTGCAGCCAATGCCAGCTAGATGGGGGATGCGGCTCTGCTGATTGAGAACCAGCATGCAGCAAGAGCTGCACTGACAGACAAGCTGGGAGAGCAAGCTACCCCCCGCCCTCCAGCTTTGCAAACCCACCTCTATTGTTGGCCATTGGACCCCTTCCCACTGCTTTTGCGTAAGTAGCTGGCAAGCAGGGATCCAGCCAGCCCATACAGCTGGACCCACCGTAACTGATGGGAAGGAGACACGAAATACAGAACAATTTGCCCATTTTTAAGAAAAGGTCAAGACAACTGTAGGAGGGCATAAATACAGGACAGACCTTTAAAAAATGGGACATCTGGTCACTCTTTTTACTGATGGGGAAACTGAGTCAAAGAGTGATTACATGGCCTACCACTGATAACATGGGAAAGCAAGTATATCTTAAATCTGGGTGGTTTCCAAATGGCTAAAACACTTTGGCTAATTTGTAATCATGTGAACTTGCAAGTTGCAGAAATATCTTATGCTCAAAAAGAACAGTTTCTTCATTAGAGGGATAGCAAATAATTTTTACACAGGTGGATACCTCAGCCACCAATGATGCCAGTGTCCATTGTGCTATTTTTTTAACACTATGAGGTTTATCATACCCTGATGAAATTTCAGGAACAATCTGGGATAGGCCAGCCTCAATCACCCACATTTTTAATTTGTCCAAGATGAAGCCCTACTCTTCCCCAAACTACTCATCATGACTCACTACTACCCAGAACCTTGGTTTCATGTTTCAGTGGAAAGACACCACCAGAGTTCTACCTATTGTCAGACACATATGTTGTTTGAATCATGTTTGAGAAAAGAACATCCTCTTCTTCACCAAAACTTTCTTCTGCACAAGTTGGGTCTTCCTTTACTTCTTCAGTAAACACGGTAACATGTGAAAGTGTAGTCTGAGGAGAGGAGACATGGTTGCGGCAGGGGCAGTTTACACAGTTTTAAATACACCACACTCATATTAATTATTTGGCAATTATATGGCAGCACCTAGGGACCACATTAGGAACAAGATACAAGTGTGCTAGGTATTGTACATGCAGAATAAGAGTCGCCCTGCTCTAAAGAGTTTACACTGTAAATAAGCAAGACAAAGAATAATATCTAATCTTAGTAAACAATGAGATGTCAGCAATAAGGTTTTTCTTAATAGTGGGATGGAGTTATGTTGTTGAAAGCAGATTGGCTAAAAAAGGTAAAAAATTGACATTTAAGGAGGAGAAGAAATAATGGGAGCTGAGAATGAAGATGGAGTAAATGAGCAGGAATAGGGAAGCAGAAGCCAATAGACTGCCATTACAGAGGCAAGTACTGCAGTGTAAATGCTGTAAAAACCAGCAAGAAGTTGCTGACATCTACAGGTTGCTGCTGCAGCTGTTTTCCTTTGCTCTTCCTGGTTGAGTTTCTAGCTGGCTCCTGCCAGCACTTCCTTTTGTCGTAACTCACATGGTTGAGAAGTATGGGACTGCATAGGCTCTGGTGCACCAGACAGGAGGTCTCCCCTACACAGTGTTGGGTCTGGAGATGCTAGAAAAGGGAAGAAGAGCAACCTTAACTGGATTACAGTTCCTGTTTCTCTTAGTGGTACTACTGTACTTGCGTCAGCTGTTTGTTTTTCCTCTATTACTGCTGCGTAGTTGTGAAAAAATGTATAGGTGCAGCCTTCTTAGAGCTTAACCAGTGTAATACATATAGCTGTGTGTTGTGATGAAAGGACCAAGTTAGGAAAAGGTCCAAATGCTTAAAATGTAAAAATTCAAACACCTTAAATCTGGCTTCAGGTGAGCATGGATGTCACTATATCAACCAAACTTTACCATGTACCTGTATTGTAAAATTAGAGGCACAATAATACTTTGTTAAATCTATAATTACATTTAATGCAAGTTTAATTAATGCACATGAAAGAAAAATATTTCCTTTATTTTTCCAGTTTAATTGGTGTATTTGACAGCAGTTGGGTACAGATAGTCTGTTTCCTCTGTGTGGATCTTTCATACAGCAACGAGGGAGAAGAAAACATTTTTAAAGCAGTAAAAATGTGTAAAAGTCATTCTTGTCCCAAATTGACTTAAGATTGTGGTATGACCCCTGCTTTTTGTATTGGCTGTTGAATGAGCCACTGATAGTGAAGACTGCCGCAGGGTCTGGAAGAAGATCCATATTTTGAATTAATAGAGTATCATCTTCTCCCAGATGCCCTCTGAAACCTCTACAGAATGCTCCAGTTCAGATTTCTGATGTGGCTCTCTTCTATGGACATCTCAGAGGGGTCGTTGTGTTGGTCTGTAACTTTAAAAATGAGTAGTCCTGTGGCACCTTATCGATTAACAAAAATATATATAGTATCATGAGTTTTCGTAGGCAAAACTCACTCATCTGAAGAAGTGGGTTTTGTCAACTAAAGCTCGCAATACTATATATATATTTGTCAGTCTGTAAGGTGCCACAGGACTACTCATTGTCTCTATGGAAGTGCTTGTCTAAGGCTCCCTTTGTAAGGAAAAGGTGGCTTCCTTGACTACCAGCTCTGCAAACGCAATGTGGAATGGGAAACCAGCCTAGGGCAATCTCAGCAATGCACACATGCATCCCACTTCAACCCAAGGGACACTTTCTTTACAGACAGGCACTTCACTTCCACACACTGCCATACCAAAGCATAGTTCTGCCTCCACAGACAGCTCCCCACCCCAAAGCACTGCCTCACCTTCAGACAGCTCCTCACCACCCTATCCTGAGAGACGCCCACCTGCACAAACAGCTCCTAGCCCCAGGAGACACCCACCTCCACAGAGAGATGAACAGCTCCCTTCCCCCAGCCCAAGAGGTACCCACCATCACAGACAACTTCCCCCCCCCAAGAGCCACTGAACCGCAGACAGATCCGGAGATCTCACCTGCACAGGCTCCCCTCCTGAAGAGACACAATATACACAGATGATAGACAGACAGCTTTCCACCCACCCTCCCAAGAGATACCCCCCTTGCACAGACAGACAGACAGCTTCCACCCCCTCATCCTAAGGGACATCCCCCCCTTGCACAGATGGACAGAAAGCTTACCACTCCCTCATCCTAGGGGACCCCCCTGTTGCACAGATGGACAGCTTCCCACCCCCTCATCCGAAGGGCCCCCCGTCCGTTGCACAGACGGACAGACAGCTTCCCAGCCCCTCATCCTAGGGGACCCCCCCATTGCACAGATGGACAGCTTCCCACCCCCTCATCCTAAGAGACACCCCCTCGTTGCACAGACGGACAGACAGCTTCCCACCCCCTCATCCTAAGGGACCCCCCCTTGCACAGACGGACTGCTCCCCCACCGCAGTCCCAAAAGACCACCCCTGCAAAGTCAGACAGAAGGACAACTCCCCAACCCTCCCCCAGTCCCAAGAAACACTCCCCTGGACAGCCTCACTTTGCTTTATAAACCCACACACTCCCCCTCCTGCGCCCACCGTCCCACGAGGCTCCCACGTGCGGGATCAGCCCCAGCCCCACTCCCTCCTACCCGCCTCCGCCGCGTCCCTTTTCCAGCCCCTAGTGTCGGCAGCTTGCACCAGCCGGCGGGGTTCTGTGCCCGCAGCACCTCCAGGCACCAGGTGGCGCTGTGACAATTCTCCCCCGGCCTGTGCCAGCTATTCCGTCTCCCCCTCCCTCGTCCTTCACAGGAGCTGCGCACGCGCAGCGTTTGTCATCCGCCCACTAGCGGGCGCCGCGTGCCCTCTCAACGCGCCTGCGTGCAGCTTCGAGCCACGAGCTAACGGCCCGTCGGCTCGGAGTTTTGACACATTCCCTCCGCCCTCGCCCCCACGGCGCCTGCGCAGGATCTCAACCGCCCGTAGCGCGAAGAGGGGTGTCTCTACCGCGCCTCCGCCGACTCTTTTCTTCTGGAGCCCGCTCGCCTCCGCCGCCAAGATGCCGCGGATTATGATCAAAGGGGGCGTGTGGCGAAACACCGAGGTAGGGGCCGCTTCCCGCCGCGGGCCTAGCCGCTGAGACGCCGCTCCGCAGCGAGAAGGGGCAGTGGCGCGCATGCGCTGAAATGGGGTGGATGGGGGTTGTGCGCATGCGCGGAGCGTGTTGTCGGCATAGTCTGAACTACTTTTATGCGCCTGGGGTTCTCTACCGCCCCTCCCCCCCTAGCTCAGCATTCGCGGGCCCCAGGGGGCGGGGCTCGGATCCTCATGGGCCCTGTGTGCGGGGAGCTGCCCCCTCTGCAGCGTGGGGCCCCTAGTGTGTGGCATGGGCAGGGGCTCTGATCCTCATGGGCCCTGTGTGCGGGGAGCTGTCCCCTCTCTAGTCTGGGGCTCTCAGTATTTAGAGTATTTAGTATTCTGTGTGTGGAGAGCTGTTCTCACTGCAGTCTAGGGTCCCTAGTATGTAGCATGGGCAGAGAACCCAAATCCACATCAGCCTTTTGTGTGTTGGGAGCTGTCCCATATGTAGTCTGCCCTCCCTCCCCCATAGCATCAACAAGGAGCACAGATCTGTACAGGCCCTGTGTACAGGAGCTGGTTCTGCTGTAGGCTGAGGTTCACAGTGTGCAGCATAACCAGGGGTCTTAGATCCATATGAGTGCCTGTGTGCTGGTAGTGGTCCCTGTGTGCATGAATGGGCAGGGACCTGTTGGAACTGGTTCTTCTGCAGCCTGGTGTCTCCAGTGTGCAGCATAAGTAGGTGGCTCGTATCCCCACGGGTCGTGCGCGCTGGGAGTTGTTCTCGCTTGCAGGCTGCTGTTCACTGCAACGTGGACAGTTGGCCAGAGCCACATGGGTCCCTGTGTGCTGAAAAGTGTTCCTGTCTGCAGTCTGCTTTACCTGCTTCCTATGAGGGAGGGTGAGGCTAAGTATAGCTTGCACTCCTATGGTAAGAAGCATTTCTGACAAAGCAAATATTTGATCCTTTACATAACTAAAGTTTGATCATATCCTGACCTAACAAGCACAAACAATTCCCTCTATTAGGCAAGACTTGTATTCTCCTATCTTCTCAGACATCCAAAGATACTCTCTCCTCTTCATCTTTATCTTCTCAGGGGATGGTGACCTAAAGACCCATCACCTCTGAGGGCTGCTATCATCTGTGGTGACTGGTTCACAGTAAACATGTGTAGCTAAATGATGGTCATGGGAAAATTGCCAGTGATTATTTTTACATCATAGCAATGTTACTTGTGATGCTAACTTATAGCAAATGGTGTCTTATCATACTCCCCTCTCTCACTATATTATTATGCAGAGAAGACTTTTTAATTTTTTAGAAAGAGCTAAACATTCCCTTGACATATCTCAGTCCAAATTTCAGAGCTTCAAGTTAGTCACAATGCAGTCTGAAGTAGGGATGTTAAATGTCAGTTAGTTGAATAGTCGAGTAACTTATGAATTCTCATCGATTACTCGACTATTCTATAGTCCCCAGGGGCAGGGCCAGCAGCCAGTGTAATCCAGCCCCACTCCTGAGGATCACCCTGCCACTCCATGTTGCTGCCTCTGATACAGAGGCAGCAGTGCTCAGGGCCAGGCAGAAGCTGGTCTGCGAAGGGAGCCAGTTTAAAAACCACCTCCCCTCATGGACTGACTGCCTGTCACGCTATGATGCTGCTTCTTATACAGGAGTGGCAGCAGCTCCTGTCTTGGGTGAAGGGTAGGTCTGAGCTCCTGCCTGCTTACTTCCTAATACACTTTAAATGCAGAGCCACAGCGGGGATAGGTCCCAGACTCGGTGCAAGCCAGGACTGAGACAGGCTACTGGCCAGCCTCCTAAAAATTGTACTAGGTAGCAGTGGGAAATGCATGTAGTCTATAGCATTAACCTATAAACTTTTGCTTATTGCTTAATTGGTTAATTGACTACACTGTTACTGAAGATTTACGTACACTAGGTATGTAAGCCTTGTGCTATGTGTTCTGTGGTATAAGGCTTATACTGCAGAGCCCTCAGCACAGTCAGCAAGTCAACTCCCAGTGCCTGCTGGCTCCCAGCTGTTGGCCTTCTCCCGGGGAGCCGGCTGCTGCTCCAAGCTGTGGGCTCTGAAGTATCAGAGCCTGCAGCACAAGGCAGCAGCAGGCTCCCTAGGAGTGGGGCCAGCAGCTAAGAGCTGGGGCCATTGGGTGTGTAAACCACTCCCAGTGAGCACTGCCTCTTACTCCAGCTGCTAGCCCCATTCCCGGGGAGCCAGCTGTGCTGTGGGCTCTGCAGTATAAGGCTTATAAGCTTATGCTGCAGAGTCTGCAACTCAGGGCAGCTAGCTGCCCAGGATTGGGACCAGCCACTGGAGCGGGTCTGCACTGGGAGCTGTCTTACATGCACCTGCTACTGGCCCTGCTCTCATGGATCTGGCTGCACTTCAGGCTCTGCAGTATAAGCCTTACTCTGCAGGGCCCACAGGGACGCCCTTCCACCATCCTTCCTTCCCTAGTTCCACCCAGCCACATTGTAGTGAAGATTTCATGAACACATGGAAATTAGGGTTGTGAATGGGTAACCAGTTAATCGATTTCCTGAGTGATGCTTATACCAGTTAATCGGTACCCAGGAGCAGACCCCATCTGCAGCCCTACTGCTCCATTTCCATGGGGGTCAAGAGCCGCCACTCCTCCCCCCCATTCTGGGGGACCAGGAGCAAAAACTCATGGGGGGGGGGGGGGGG